AAAACTGTGCTTAGTGGAAGGGACCCATACGACGTGGTAGCCGGACAAATAGCTAAGTGGATCAATCCACAGCAACAGACCTGTAGGTGAGAATGATAGTTATCAGACTACAAAATCATCCTCTCAGACGGACCACCATTGAAAAGTGGATCAGTAGTCTTCAACTGTGGTAAGATGGACAAAAGCTAGGTAGTAGACACCTGAGAGCACTCCATTTCCTCAGTACAGAATTCTACTTCTTTTAAAGTACCTACCATAGTGAAAAAATTGGCCACATATCTTTCTCGAGTTAGTGGACAACTTATCATGATTGACCGATAAGCAGCCAACCTGTTTCAAACCTTGAGATTGTTTTGGGACTGAAGACACCGATAAAGAGGACAATTATTCTACTGATGTGTTATTGCCTTTAGCCGGCAGAAAATTTGAAATACACAGCGTCAGAGATTATATCAGTACCCGTTCACCGAGAACGCCTACAAATGTTTGATTACCTGTTTACCTGTTTACAGTGCACATTCATGTCCATCCTGTAGTTCTCCACAAATTATCTCAGTTATTCCATGTAAGGTTTGGTATCAAAATTGTTATATACGAGACTTAATTGCAGCAATAAGTCCCGTTTTTAAAGCGAATGGAAGGAGACTTCATAAACGAGAGATTCTATTGAGTATCCCATGAAAACCAAATTGATTTGCAAATGAGTGTGTTTCTCAAATGGAAAACTGTTTTGGAAAGGGTATGATACAAGCGTGACTATAGAATGAAGGTTCATGGTGGAGAGCTGGGCATCAGAATTACGGAATTATAAAGGGAAAAATCGATTTTTTCTCTTCATTCTATTTTATACATTGCGAATTATTGCAGAATTCTCATTAACTTGTTCACCACCTAATATCTTTCCTGTCACATTTTCCAGTTATGGCCACTAACCCAGTTTTGTTTTACTGATCTGAGGGCAAGTCAGGTTTTTATCTAATATCTCAGGGTCCACCGAGGAGTTTGTATGACTACTGGGTCCCTTATATTTTTATCCATACGACATCATTGGCTGTAAAAGGACGAACCTGACCCTACAACGCAGAGGATTCAAAATGCAAATAACTGATTTCGTGTGTTAATGTTGTGTTGCGCTTGACGTGACTGCCAGGTCATTACCTTCGAAAAAAGCTTTTATAAGTTACATTTTTTTAGGATAAAATGATGTAGTTAGGCCAGGTAAAACTAAAACTGTATCAAAGGCCAACTAGAGATCTACACCAACCCAACGCAGACTGGAATGATAATAAAGCAGATCCTACCCACGTAGACATTTCATTGTCTAAGTTTAATTTAATTTAATTTAATCGCATTGGTTTGGTTTCCCGGGGAACACACACAAATTTTCTATTGTCGAAGATCATTAGTTCAATTAAACCCAGACAGAAGGTCATACTGCCACAAAGGCAATTTACTTAGTCCTCAGCTGTCGCCCTTATTGTTTCACAACGGTCGCACGTGAATCAAGATTAACGCACTTGATCACGTGTTCCCCCGGCATTTCGCGAAGATCACATGCCTTACAGCAAATGGCAAAGCCGAACTAAGATTTCAAGGAAGACACCAACCTGTTGGGTCCTCAATTTCTAGCGTTCAGTAAGCGTTTGCTGCCACATCACGTTCGAATTATAAAGAGTTGTTGTTAAAGTTGAATCTAAGCTGACCTTTATGCTGGTAAAGTTTTTCCAGCAATATCACCATGAAAGATCAAATCCAATCGTAGGACAACCTCAAATGGTGAATGTGTAACTTCCTGGACCTACAGTAACCCCTTTAGATCCCACGTAGTCATCAGATCGAACGACATATATTTACCACAAGCAANGCTAACATTGCAAGCTATCATTCTTTCCCTATAATATGGAAATCAGCCGAAGGATCATAGAGCTTGGGACTTGTGACATCGTCAGAATCAAATTGGCTGCCATATATAGACCACACCCGGGCACTTGGCACATCGATGAAACCATAGAATAGACCAGCTTTGCTTATAGTGCAGGCTGAAGAAGGCCTACTAGCACTGATAATTATGCTTTGGAGCAAAGGACAAAACGACGGTAAATGATCTAATGCAAACCAAGCAGTCGTTTCGCATTGTTGATGGACCATTTAAGCCAAACTGCGTAAAATGTCCACACCAGAAGGCGGGAGACTGCCTGATGAGTGTCCCTGAGAAAATGAAAACATCTTTGAGAACAGATAGTAAAATTTGGACGGCTCAAATTAACCGTAACTGTGGGGTCAATCGTAAGGGTTTTAGTCTACTTGACTCGGCTCTTACAACTACTTCTATTTTTGGCAAGCTTTAGGATTGTCCTTACACTTGCGATCACCCATAAATTGTACTTTTTCTCCACATCTTGAGTGAATCCAGCGCGCGGCCTTGTGCTTCAACCGTCGGGAGACCCATCGGAATCTTATCTCTAATTGTTGTTTGACTCGATGAACCTTCTGATCCCTTATAATACCACGATGGTGAGAGAGATTGCTTCACAATAACAGCCTAACTCCATACATATGCAAAACCGTCTTTCTCGGGCTAAATAGTAGACGGCTACTTGGTTGAGTGTTGGGTGCCAGACTGCTAGACAGCTAGTTTGCAACCTGGTCACCTTCCCCGAAAGATATGTGTCACTAATGTCACCAGTGATTTCTAAGACTAACCTAGACGCACTCCGTTGTTCTGTTTAAATGGCACTAGCTGAGTAGTGTGAAAGAAGACTGTTGTGAATGCGCCCAAATAGTTCTGCTACGAGTGAGTCGGAGAAATATACCATGGCAATCGGTCTCCTGGATCACCTACCGACCTAGTTCTCCAGCATACTCATACCACCTTCGGTAATTCCAACATTCTAGTTCGGCATCGTTCTCTTATTATTAGGCAATTCTTTTCCTTACAACCATCACATCTGCCTCCCACGTGGATGAAGTGAACACTACTAATCCAGCGCTACGTACCACTACGCTCCCAAATAACGCAATAATGATGTCACCTCGATTGGTGATGAAAGTTTGCAATCGGAATTTTCCAGATCAGCGAACAAGCCAATACCACCTACGCTACCTGAGCCACCAACAAACCTTCCATAGAAAATTAGTCCTTTATTTAGTGACTGAAGCACCGACGAATCGACCAAGCACCCTCTCAGTTCGAATAGGCTGTAACCGACGAAGCAAGGCTTATCTTGCTTAAAAGCAACCACTCAGATAGTATTTTGAAATTCCTTGGTGTTACTATCAAAGGAGATCTTCCCAAGCGCTCACATTCAGGATAATGATGTCACCTCGATTGGTGATGAAAGGTTTGCAATCGAATTTTCCAGATCAGCGAACAAGCCAATACCACCTACGCTACCTGAGCCACCAACAAACCTTCCATAGAAAATTAGTCCTTTATTTAGTGACTGAAGCACCGACGAATCGACCAAGCACCCTCTCAGTTCGAATAGGCTGTAACCGACGAAGCAAGGCTTATCTTGCTTAAAAGCAACCACTCAGATAGTATTTTGAAATTCCTTGGTGTTACTATCAAAGGAGATCTTCCCAAGCGCTCACATTCAGGAGACGGATGCCTCGTCGTTACAGTTAACGGCTGCTCGACCAGTGATTTTTTGGAGTACCATAGTACCGATAAATCTCATTCCATTCCTCGACTAATGCCACTTACCTGTCCAACAAAGGTCATGCGCACCAGTTTTGCAATATCTTACTTACTTACTTAGGGCTTTCACGGCTTCTTGGTTTTGTTTCGTCTGACCAGGATTATCTTAGCTGCTCTATGTGTATTCCTGGGAAAAAATAAACCTAGAAATATACTGTCAAATGGAGTTTCTGGGGCTACTAGTATCTCACCTTTTTATATCACGGGTTGTACCAGCCAGTGTATACAAATGGACTGCTAATTTGGCCAGCAAAGGCGGTGGTATATGCCCACTACTGCAGCAGCATACGTTCTACTATTTTCCAGCTTAAACGTCAGTTTAATTGTCACATGTCCAGGTATACCAAGTGCTTGAATCCAACTGATGAAGTACGAGCGCTTGTCGCCTTGCGTTAAAGACGCCCGGGCCTCTTACTTAACTGCACTGCGGTTCTTCCTCATGACAGTGTCACTTCTTTGCTCTGATTTTGCTGGCCTCCGTGAAGTTTCTCTTGTCTGCTACTTCACACTCGCGACTTGCAGGTTCCACTCCCACAGTTCCTACTCTACGTGACAAACATGAACAGATTCGATGGAAATTACAAGGGCTATCTCATTAACGATAGAATCACTTGTGTGTTTCACTTACTTTTCATATAAAAGACTTCTTTCTATTTCAGAATTTTTCTATTTCAAGGATTAACTAACACCAGTTAAACAGCAAATGACGCAAGCCCTCTAGCAGGTCTGTTGAAGCAACCAGCGAAACAACGTCACAGTACTACTAAACAGGCCCCTTAAAATTCACTTCAGTAGACCTGTAGAGCAAATTCTACCCTCCGAAAACTCTGAACTTAGATGTTTATTTTTGCCTCGTGCCGGTATACCTCTGGTTACTTTGATGTCGTGCAAACAACCTTGCTTTCCATTTATTTCTATTGCACGTTTCCCAGCTATCGTTTTAAGACTCAGATGCACCTCAAGCTTCCTATCGATGAACATGCTGCCTAGTGTTGATTGAAAAAAATAAACTTTGACCAAAAAATGAGTCGTAATTACACCAGAACTATCTCGATAAACATCAGAATGCTGATAAACACAGTTCAAATTGTATTGCTTTAATAAGATCACTTGTCTTACATTTTCCAAATGACTGATGAATCCTGGTCAGATATTCGAGTAGACTGTCAAGTCTTCAGCCCTGCTTCAATTCAAAATGAAGATTTCTGGTACCAGTGACAACTGAATCGCAGCCGATAAGCTCCACAATTTTAATAAATATATAAATACATTTACCAAAACTGCTGAATGACACTCACCATTTGGAAATGGCCATACCATTTGTGCTTTTTTCCAAGTGTGTCTTGATAGCAAGAATCAACTCCAGTAGTAATGGAATGATGGTTATACAAAGCAACCAAAAACGTCCATCATTCTTCACTCTGACGACAGTCACAATGGCCACACATGCGAAACATATGAATCCCATCCGTACAATGATCGCTCTGACAGCCATCAGCAAGTTGAGCAACGCGATCCAACCCTGTATGCACATGTTGATGCAAAAACGAACGATACATGGGTAGTCTGCCCAAGAATCCGCGTTGTGAGTGCTGGGGATGTTGCTCGAATCACCGACTGATTTGGACCGCTTTGGTGACTTCTCAATGACGGACTCCCCTGCTATGTTAGAATTTCTGGGTCTGGTGCGGCGAACATGCAAATACGCGCCCGGATGCAAGAAGTTAGCTGCGAAAGTGTGGCGACGAAAACTGGTTTGTGGTGAAGGACAAACAGATTTGTCTATGGGTGACGGCTCACTTCTAACAGAGGGTCTGATAGTTTCCGAATCTTCCTTTTGATGATCAATTCCTGCTGCCCCCGGATCTGATGTGCCAGAGCCTGACACAGATGCTCCTGAAGGATTCCTACTGCCATTGTTTGTGTCATCATCACATGCCTGAGACGACTTGCGCGATCCTACATCGACAACAAATAAAGGGAAATTTCTAATAAGCTACTCGCGGATAAACATTACTTATCATCGAAATAATATTCTTAAATGGAGCTACGCCGCGATTACAACTACACCAAAGTTGAGATTTTGCATAACTTCAGACTGAGGATTTTCTTTGTACTTCGTGACTGTCTTCGTAGTGCGGGCTCAGTGAGTGGCAAAGTCTTAAGAATTGAAAAACTCATCAAGCTTGTGTAAAGGTAATTGCTTTAGGTCCTGTGCTATTTCAGTTGCCCGGTTTCTCAAAGCAGACCAAAAAAAACAGATCTATCCCAAAGAACAACAGCTACAATATTAAAAGTGAACCCGACGGTAAAGGCTTTCAGAAGTACCATAGCCCAGAGGGTTACTGGCTAAGCTAATCAGCTTCATGCAACCAATATGAAGTAGTAATACGGGAATGACTAAGTTGTCATACCAAGGAGGAAGACAACAATAAAGAACAGTTGTTTTAAAGTTATTAAGAATGTTTGTACAACTTATTTTTGTGAGAAGCGCCTTACGGAACCACCAACACAGATTCGTAAATAAAATCTGGCTCATCGTTTACTACTAACCGCTGAAAAGTAGCACATTCGGAAATACCAACAGAGACCGTGGATTATGTGCTTGGCAGAGGAATTAAGTTTGAAAATAATATGAATTGTTTTCAGACGATTCTGCCAGAAATTAACCTGAAGGTTCTTTGAAAAGATTTCTGTATGCTGGTGCCGTGGTGAAGGCCTACTGATCCATTCAGCCGACAAATGATTGCAGTTCAGAAGAAACTAACCTTTATGTGCAGTATGTATACAAAGGAATGATTTCTTATAATCAGGTCTGATCCATTTATCAATTAATGCATTTTTCAATGCAAGAAGAAAAGTTTGGGAAGCAACAGCAGATATGGCTCCACAAATATTTTATGAGAAAAGTGATTAACAAGAAATTACACCAAAAACATGTTCTTGCTGGTTGAGGAGAGCGACTGTTATTGAAAAAGCTGTTTGACGGATCCAACCAGGTCATCTGAGACCTCACAAATCAGATTCGGCATTTCCCATCCACAATCGTCGACAAGAGTAATTTCGAGTCGGAAGGTGATCGGAAAAGAAAACATTGTGTACAATCGTCGGCAATGCTTGCTATAGCGAACATTTGTGTTTGGGCAACAGACACCTGGATACTGAATTTCGTTGGTGGGGCCAGCCTACACTACCCATCACTTATATTAAGTTAAAGCGAAACATTACGCTCTTCATTCCTCTGCAACCAAGAGTTCTCCTTGTAAACAGGTTAGGTACTTTTGACCTTTGTGTGACACAACCGTGTTTTTTCGTCTAAAGTTTTTTTATTCATGCTTCGAGTCTTCACCTGATCTCCTTTCTTTCCACACAAAGTTCAGTTTTTTCGTCGACTGTACATATGCACTGACAACGAAATAGTACATAACAAATAGCACGCTGTACAAGAAATCGGGGAGTGTAAATTAACGTACATACCAAAGCGTTTGGAAACTTTGATGGAGAATTTAGATTCCGGACTAAGCAAACTACAAAACGTAGCATATGAAAAAAACTTGGTTAGTGGGTGCATAGCTCTGAGGGATAATGAATTCGCTTGGCTTAATAAAAGAAACCCAAGACGAATTGACATTGAAGACCCTTGAGCGTGCTCAAAGACTATCAGCGTATTTGACGGGTTGCTTTACATACATCACTGTCTCCGTAATTGCCAGAAATTGTCTTGTTAATGATCTGTAACAAACTGTGTGGTAGACGGTTAAAAATCCTCAGACACCTGTCGGTGGATTTTGAGCTATGATCCGATAAATTTTATCACAAATGGCACTGAAACTTCACGTAGGATTTTCTGAAATTCCTAGCTAGTTGAGTAGATTACTGTGATACGAACACACTTAAATTTTGTTTCGTTAAGGAAAGGACAAACAGGAATCCTAAGCACGATAAGTTCATGCTTGAGAACCCCGTGGAAGAAAGATTGGTATCAGCTTATTTGTGAAAAATCGATTGGTTGACCGGTGTTTGTGTATGTATCTCAAACCGGGAATTAAGATGATTTATACACGGTTTGTGGGAAGAAAACCGCTGATGAGAAAAAATCCTCAAAAGAAGGTCCAGTGCGGAAGTAGGCATGACATATGTTGCGTACGTTTTCGTTTCTTCCTCCAAGATTTCAAGTATCAGTTTATTGGACTTGGTCGGGCGGCTACAGAGAGTTTGGATAACTAAACAGCTGTTCAAAGGAAATAAGATCATACCAGATAGAGCTCGTCACATCTATCACGCATTGTGTCTTCCGGTTTCATAGCGTTCCGTAACTTGATTTATCACGTCACAAACAGCTGAGAGTAATCCGGTGTCTTGCATGCGATAGAAAGCTCTTTTTCTACAAAAACATGATTTTTCAATATTTTGCTGTCACCGGAAGTCGCCAGTCTTTCACACTGGATTAAAACAATAGCAGTCAGTGCTTGAACTGTTTGGGGTTACTTGGGTGTGGGAACTGGTTATGTTTTGCATAGGTGTGTGCGTGACCGTATACAGAGTATTCATCAGAGATGATTCAACAGGGATATTGTCATCCTGTGTTCACAGAAAGGCTAGCAATAAAGGGCGCGATTGTGAAAAAAGCTTAAACTTTTGACTAATTCTGTTAAAAAAGACAAGTTGGTCAAGTTATGAGTGTGTGGTAGAAGCAGGTAAGACGGCTCAGGACAGAAAGGATTGTTTTCAAAGCTATATGTAATCTCAAGCTCAAATACAAATGATGTTGCAAACATCGATGACGAAAATTCTTCAACACACATTTTAGCCAAGGAGTTTGAGCGCGGTACCGCGTAAGTATTATCAAGATTTCGGTTTAAAAGGTTACTTGAAATTGATCGAAGGGATCCTTTGCTAATACCTAGTTTTTGTAGTCCCTTCTTACATTTGTTCTCCTGAAAGAGACCACCGGCTTGATATCTAACCGTGGAAACCGTACCTCCATCCACAGTGGAGAGTGGCCCAGAGTTTTAGGAGTACGTACGTCTATTTGGTGAGTAGTCTTAAAAACAGAAATGTGCTATAGCGGTCGGAGTTTCATCACACCAAAATCCCATTGCTATATTTTTGGGAGCTAATGAGGACGCAGAAAGAGTTAAAGTCAAGCAACCACACTACGGCAGACGGTATATATATATATAT